TTTCTACAGGGAAAGGTTCATACACCACAAAATAACTATTTTTATGGATTTTACACTGTAGCCCACACAGTGCACAGGCCCAGTCTTGCCTCCATTCACACATCCATTTATGACCCACATTACTTGCTCTTTCCAATTTTCTTTCTATTTTTCTGAAACCATTCTCAGTTCCTAAGCAGGATTCTCATGCACAGCATAACTTTCAACTTCTTACTCAACGGTCTCCATAACTACGCATTTATACCCAACGTTCTTATGATTAGGTCTCCTACCATGCCCATTTTCGTGCTGAATGGACAAATATTAGTAGAGATTCTGACTCAACACCATGCTGAATCTCATGTGGACTTGACAGCACCTGTCAATGGTGGTACCTCAAGAACCACAGGGCCAATTTGAATAAAATTAAGCTTGTTGGAAAGCTGGAGGAGAGGAGAAGTTAGTGTGGCTCAAAAAAAGGCATGGAAAGGGACGGTTTGGTTTCGCGTCAACCTTCTTTCATATCAGGCTGCTCCAGCAGTATTTCCCCCATTTCTCCCCCATTTCTTCATCAATTTGGTTCAGCCGTTGTGGAGATCATCAACTTTATTCATTGTGTTGCCATCAATCAGCATAACTTGCAAATATATTGACAAAAATGCCATCGATTTCTCTCAACCTTGGTACTATAGGAAGAATATTCTCCACGGGCATTCAGGATATCTTTCCATATTTTTAAGGCTCCTGAGAGACTCTGAATGTCGACTTTTTCCCTTTTCTCCATGTTCGGTGAATATTCATGACAACACATGTTAGAACTTGAATGTGGTAATATATATGCTTACATGTGACATAACATGTGTGTTCTTCATTCTGATACCTAGCTATAAGGTTATACATTTCCTTACAGAATGTTAGCCAGAGCTTGTATGTACTTGTAAGCTGTCATGACTGACAAATCCTGGGGCTCCGTCAGCGGCAAATCAATGCCGACAGGCGATTCCTCTGACCCGAACCCATCTGTACCAGCCCCAACCCGATGTCTGTTCTATCGACCATGCACCGCTTCCGCACCTTCCGCAACCTCTGTCCATTTCTGGTTGTCCTTGACACTTCTGGTCAGGTCAACACTCCCCTCTGTATCTTGCTGGCCATCATGCTGTCCTTTTATGACAGCACTGACAGACCACCCTCTGTTGTGGACTCATCAGCACCATGCTGATTCCTGCATCCCTTTGCGGACTTGTGTCGGTATCGCACCGACCCCGCATCCTGATTTGCGGACTTGTATCGGTGCTGCATCCTGACCTCCGCTTTTCCTCTGGCCATTTGTCACTTGGCAGCTTATCATTCATTCCTTGCTGAGTGCCACTTATTGTTTGCTTCCCTGCCAATATTGGCATTTGATCCCCTCTTTATTGGCACTAGGTTATTGAACTCATTCAGTTATTCATCAATAACCCTTGCCACTTATTGTTTATTGATCTGTTCCTCATTTCCAGTTCCTGGGCTCTTGTCCTTATTTAGTTTGACAATCCCCACTTATCTCTGCGCTGGACTGCGCCGGACTGACCAGCCTTTCTATATTCCCTCTTGCCTATTTATATACCTTGTAAATACTTTTGGGGACCTCATGTCAGGGCACATACCCTGACTTAGCCCGGACCCGGACCCGCGTCCGGACCCGCTCCACTTCCCGCGCACTTCCTGCGCCGCACGCTCCGCGCGCCGCATGATCCGACCCCGGATCCCACCTCATGTGACTTCCGGGTATCCCCGGAAGTTTTCGCCATATTGGGGCCACTGTGGGAAAGTGAGAAGTTAACCTTCTTCTCACTTTCTTACCCACAGTAGGCAAGTGTAGCCTACTCTTCATTTATCTATACACTTTCTTACCCACAGTAGCTATGCCCTGAGATGGGCTGTGTTTACAGGCCAGACTGTGGACTGTAGAGAGGGGTCATGGGGACCCGGGGTCCTGTCAGGGGACGCGCGTGCTCGCGCAAGATGCTCCGATAACCTAGTTGTGATTAAAGCCGGGGGAAAGGGATGTCCCCATCTTAGGGTCAGCTATATACATGTAGAGTCCGGCAATAAGGAAACCAAACGGATTGCCGATAGAATCACGTGATCATAGAATGTTCCAGAACAATGCCGGAGATGATCCGGGTCACCGGGGCTTAGGTAAGCGGAGTAGACGGGAATTACCGGCATACTTCCCACGCGCGTACGCGCAGCCGGCATAGGGTCCAGGGTCATTGCTGATCCCTGACAGGTCTGTCCCCTGACACCTCAGTCTGAAATCAACTAGAGTACCCCCCCTGTCTGGTCTGAGTCTCTCCTTCTGCAAAGGGGGCTTCCCCCCCTCTGAGTCCGTGCTCGCGGAGTCCGCACTCCTCCTACAGGTCCGCTCTGCCCGCAAGTCTCGTTTGAAGTCCGCTGTGAGTGTCAGTCTGTAAATATGGGATCTCCCCCAAATGTCAAGCTCAGGGCACAGCGCTCCACCTGAGTCGCTGAGGCCGCAATCCCACTCTGCTAACCTTGAACAGCGCTTCTGGACGCGCCGCATATTTCCGCCCACATATCCGCGCGCACGCTCCAACAGACCTCTGCATCACCTCCGACTCCGACAATAATCCAGTCTCTGACAATAATCCAGATCTCTGACATAAGCGATGGATTTTCCAAATCGGTGGAGATTTGACAGAGATGTGTCAGGGGACGACTCCCGGGTCCCCATGACCCTCCCCTATGGTCCACAGCCTCTGGTCTGGCCAGCCCTATCCAGGGCACAATCTACTGTGGGTAAGGAGATAAGGAAGCTAACTTCTCATCTTCCCACAGTGGCCACAATATCAGCAAAACTTCCAGGGATACCCGGAAGTCACATGAAGGGGTAGGAACCGGGCCCGGAGCATGCGGCACGCGGAGCGTGTGCACATGCGGGAAGTGCAGCGGGTGGAAGCGGGTCCGGACGCGGGTCCGGGTCCGGGCTAGTCAGGGTGTGTGCCCTGACAAGATGCCAGCCTCGCAAGCTACCCATAGTAGGTGCATACCAGATATGGTTATCTACAATGGCTTGTAAAATCTCCAAAATCTTTATAAGCATTAAAAATCCCCTTGAAAGCACCATGGCAGAGTATAATGCTCGAAATCATTGAGAAACATTGGCCATTCCCCCACCTCAGCCCTAATTCCCTTAATATTCGATTATCTTTTCCATTTTCCTGTCTACTGATCACAGGGCACATAGTTATTAGGACATCCTCAGATTTTCCCACAGTCCATTTTTGGCAGCAAGCCGCATCACCAGGACGTCCACATTGAAATAGGCCGTTTAGGCCCTATTGAAGCGTAAAAAACACCCCTTGATAGGGTGGGTTAATTGGCTGACTAGCCTGCCAAGTCTGCATAAGATAATCAACAATCTTGCTCAAAGTCCGCATCCGGCAACATCCATAAAACAACATGATTAAATCCTACCCCTTTCAATGGTCTGTGATAACTAAGAAAATCCTGTTCGCAAAATCCTACAGTGGGGAAGGATTTTTCGTGAAATCGTGCCGTGTTGCAAGACAAGATGCCGGAATTACTTTTCTCAGTGCTACAACCCAGATGCACACAACAAACTCGCTCGTCTTCTGTCTTCTTCACCGCCTTCAGCTCAAATTAAGTATTTAACCTGTCGATGAGTGATCGGTTAGAAAATGCTTCGGCGCCCCTGCCCGCGCACAGGTGTACATACGCATGGAATTCACGATCAAAACGTCCCCTGCACTCATCACAACTCACCCTCCGCGGTCTACGGACTGAGACACCCGCCTATGGCACGAGCGCTTAATCTTCCGTTTCTGTTTCCCTTCTTTTGGCCCAAGGTCGGTTGACGATCACCGGGTTCGAAGCGACTAGTAGTAGCTACCTGTAGTTTGGGCAGAATCCGGGCCCGAGCAACGGGGCGAAATTGTCCCGGGTCGTAAGTGCTAGTAGTACATAACCTTGTTTTGGGAGGGCAGGAGTTCCTTCCCTTCTTCTGTGTTGTTGTTTGTCTCGGAATTTCAAATTCGATGTGACGGACGATCATCGCTGCCGCGTCATATGCTTGCTGTGCAAAGTGAAGAGGTACGGGTTTCTAGGGAGGTGGCTGGTTTTTCGTTTGAAGGGTGGGATCGATTGCAGGGAATGAAAGCTTGAGGGGGAAGGGGGAGGCTGCACCTATCCTGGGATTCCCTCGGGGGCTGGCCTAATTGCTGAAAGAAGGTTCTTGCTGTTTTTTTCCCTTGGAAAGGAGGAAGCGATGTTATCGTCCTGCTCTAAGAGCAGTCAGTTTCGCGGAAGCGAATCAGTTTGGAATGTTGTAGCGGACCCGCCTTTGTTGTTGTTGTCTGTTTCCGGAAAATAGTGAATATAACCATATAGAGTAAAAAGGCATGAATTTAAATTATGAGACCGGAGTTTGAGCGAGTTACGATTACTACTCGATTCGGTCTTATCTCTGAGGCTGAAGTACTATTTGTAGTGGGGAACGAAAAGAGGTGAACGCCCTCCATCGTGCAATACATAATACAAATCATTTATTAAAGTGTGTTTGTGCGAGAGTGCGAAATTGAGTTGTCGATTGAATTTGAAATATAAATGTCAAATAAAGTGCTTATGTACTTACACATTGCTGGGTAACACAAACTTGCGTTGATTTACTTGAAGGATGCCAGGGAGCAACACTCGACTTCCGCTCTTCCCTCCGCAACAACACCACCCTTACATAACTTGCACTTCCTCTACTCGTCCATCTTTCTATACACTCTCCAAGTGAATACCGGCGCAGCTGGTCATTGCGGTTGTCCATAACGTTCGCAAACACCCGCCGCGGCCTTTGTTGACGAGAGCAAGGATCCCTTCACCCCCACTCCGCTGTTCAGCTCACCTTTCGGGACCATCTTGCTCTCTACTCTCTGGTTTAACGCAAAGGAACGACCAAATACTCGAACAGGCTCCTAACCTCGAGCATACGTCGTTACGTTTATTAAAACCGACCTGACGGTGCTCAATTGTTGTCTTTCTGGCTGCGTTCATTCCACAACCTTCTACCTGCCCGTTCCTCTAGTCTTCTCTCTCCCCCCCTCCCCTCCCCTTTTCTTTGATTCCCTCGCCATCATCACCTTACCGCGCCTAAATCTTTAAATCCCGCCTCGAACCCTTCGAATGGGCAACTGTTGCTCATCCACAAACCCAGCCATCCACTCTCCAACTTCATCCCCAACTAGTACCCCCCTCAGCAGTCCCTTTTCTTCCACTTCACACGAAAAGAAGTCCCACTCAGACTCCATCGATCGTCAAATAGCCGCTGACTCCCGAACCCTCAGGAAAGAATGCAAGATATTGTTGTTAGGATCCGGTGAGAGTGGGAAGAGTACGATTGTCAAGCAGATGAAGATCCTTCATCAAGGCGGGTTTAACGAGGATGAGTTGTTGTTGTATAGGGGTGTTGTGAATGGGAATCTGGTCGAGTGCACAAAGGGTATTTGTTGGGGTGTCGAAAGGAAATTGGGGATTGACAAGGTGAATCCAGCTTGGTTGGTGAGTTTTATAAAAGCTGTTTTCCTTTGTGTTGGAGATCGTGGGCGCTAATCCTTTTGGATATATATATTCTAACTTTTGGTGTTATATGTACATGACGGTATATGGTCGGTCTTTTCCTCACTGCCCTCAACGCTGCCCTATTTCGTCGTCGGGGTGATTATCGGTCTCATGATGGCCGTGTCAATGTCTCACTTCCTTTTGCCACCTCGACGAACGCTCGGACTCGGCTCGGCACACTCGGCACAACCACATCCCTGACACCCCGACGTACAAACCCTTCGAACAACTAACACGCTGCTGATTCACCAATGGGCCTCTTCGCCTTGCCGCCCGGCAAAATCGCACGCCAGCCCCACATCCAATCTATCCTTGCCTTCGAAGACCCACCCGTTTCCTCCCAACCGCTCATCTTCCCACCCCTCCCTGCATATTTAGGAGAATCCATCGCCTTCCTCTGGTCTGATCCTTCCATAAAAGCAATCGTTGATGAACGGATCGTTCCATCTCCATCTCCACCGTCTTCCTCTGACTCTCCCTCATCATCATCATCCTCCGTACCATCGTCTACGCTTCGCCCCAATTCGTTAGGTCTTCCCTATTCATCTTCGTCGTCTGCGGGCTCTACTTCCAAGGGAGGTGGCGGTGGCGGTGGTGGCGGGGCACTCATAGCAAGTAATAGTATGGTAGCAGGAATGGGAGAAAGGACTGGGAATTTTTACTTTATGGATTCAGCAGCGTACTTTCTGAGTCATGCGAGGAGGATATGTTCGAGGAATTATGTCCCTAATTTCACTGATGTGTTGAGGGCAAGGGCGCAGACGACGGGGATCACGGAGACGAAGTTTAGTATGGGCCAGTTGAATATCCAGTACGTTTCCCTCTTATGCTTTTTTCCTCTCATTAGTCATCGCGTATGCTAAATGATGCTCCATCCCCTCTCTCTGTTTTTCTTCGCCTGCACTAGCATGTTTGACGTGGGCGGTCAACGCTCCGAGCGTAAAAAATGGATTCACTGTTTCGAATCCGTCACCTCCATCATTTTTTGCGTAGCTCTATCAGAATACGATCAGCCTTTGATCGAGAATCCTACTCAAAATCGGATGAAAGAGTCCCTGGCATTGTTTGATTCGGTGGTCAATTCGAGATGGTTCTTCTCGACGAGTATCATCCTTTTCTTGAATAAGAAGGATGTGTTTATGGAGAAGATTGCGGGGAAGGCTGTATCGGAGGGACAGGGTGTTGGGAGTGGGAGTGGGAGTGGTGCGGGAGGGCGGAGTGGGAGTCGGGGAGGTGGGAGTGTAAATGAGGGTGTGAGCGAGCGAAGTGTGAGGGGGTTAGGGGAGCCGTTAGAGGGTATCTTTCCGGAATATACGGGCGGGAGGGATATGAACAAGGCAGCCAAGTTTATTTTGTGGAAGTTCTCGCAGGCAAATAGGGCGAGGTTGAGTATTTACCCTCAGTAAGTTTTGTTCGTTTTTGTGGGTGGGCTAATGATCGTGATTTTGGTTGGTCTTCTAGCTTGACCCAAGCGACCGATACAAGAAATGTACGTTTTTTTGTCATTTGTTCAGTTTGCTGTCTGCTGAATGTTGCCTCTGGTTTTTGGCTGTAGATTGAACTCGTCTTTGCAGCGGTGAAAGAGACGATACTACATAATGCGCTGAAAGATGCCGGGATCATGTAGACTGGGCTCGGCTTGGTTCTTTCTTCCAGGCCCTCTGGTAACAATAATGCCGACTCTAACCCCGCTTTCGATCCGAGGTCAAGGCCCAAGGGTTGACCTGGTTGATGGATTGAGGCTTGTCCACCTTGTCCCGTGCGTTGGGCAGGATACTTGTTGTGGTCGAATATCCACATGTAACCCCCCGCCCCCGGCTCATCCTTGTTCTGCCAGGCACAAGCAGCAAGGAATCAAGGAATTCTTTCCTTGTCGAATCACGGGGAGCCGCCCACTCGAATATCGAAACGTTCAGCCTAATTTGGACATGAGCTGGCTAACATTCAACTCGTCCCCTCACTATTTCCACTCTCGGTCTTTCCTTAATCCTTACTCTCCTAATTGCTTCATCTGACTCGCATATACAAGTTACCCATCCACGTCGTTTCTTTACATAATTCATCGTTCGCCGTCATGCACTCTTACTCATGGCCGGGTCACACATACACATGTATCATCAGACGATCTTCAAATTATCACCATCGCATTCCTTTTTTTTCACTTTTTTGTTTCCTAAGCTTCGTTGTCGCAGCTTTCTGTCACCCCAAACTGCTATCCATTCTATCTTTCCTTGGTTCCATCCTGCGTTCCGGTGAGGTGCTGGCGCTGGCGCTGGTCGGGTGGGCAGTGCGATTTATCTTTGATCCATTCTCGCCGGAGAAACTGGGGATGCTAAATGTGGGAAGGGGGGGAGAACTCAGGAAGTTCGGAGTGTGGACGTGAGTACCTGGATTTGTTGGGTGAGGATGGGTGAGGATAAGGTGTTTGGTGGAACTCGGGTCATGGAATTTGGAGTGGGGAATGCTCTCCTTGTCCTTCTAGGTCACTTTAGAAAGGGGTCTAGGAACTCGGAGCCGGGGAGGCGGGGGGGTGAGCATAGGTATGTGTGCTCTGTGAAAAGGGTTGGCGGTTACTGAGGAGCTCATCGACTTTCGTGTACACTGTATAAGTATTTCCCCAATCAGATGGGTTTTACCCCCACATCCATATAACTACTCTTTCATCTGCTCCGACAACATTGATCTTGCAAATGCACGCTTATCTCACCACTCGCTTCCCCCCCCTTGCTAGTTTGCAGAGTATCTTCCTGTGTGCCCTGTACTCTCTGGCAGGTGACAACGAATCAGCTTATGCAATAGCTACCCATTTTCTTGCATGAACTCGAGGTGGTATGAGTTCCATTTTTTTCTGTCCTTTTGGCCAGGTGTGTATGATAATGTATCAATAGCAGTTCTTTGTCGATTTTATCCAAGTCTTTCATGTTATGAGGATGGGGAGAAATTCTCCCCTCTTGACCCGTTCTTATAGTTGAAAGATAGTCATAAGATCTTGTTTGTACATCAATGGATGATGTAATCGATGGGTGGTCCCAGTCGGGTATGAGAACGGACAATTGAATCCCCATTGATCGTGGTCCATGATGGAGTGAGCTATTAAGGGTTTGATGATATGTAGTCAGAGACACCAGGGTTGATAGGTTAGCCATGGGTACTTGGCACTCCTCAGTAGAACGTGCCGGTTGCACGGTTGCGACTTGTTTGACATGAGAGGTTTCCATATTGTTGCTAACGGTTACTTGGCATTCATAGTATGAACATGCCGGTAGCAGGTTATTGTTACAAGTATCATGGATGGAATGTCTAATGGGGCTTTCGGTGACTTGGCATTCTCAAAGGGAACATACTGGTTGCAGTGGGGTGTGATGGCTAGCATGGGAGAGACTAGATGGTTGATGGGCAGCTACTTGGCACTCATGCAGTGAGCATGCTGGCATCACAGGAATGGAATCTCTGGAGTAGTTATGGACCCAAGTAACATAGTATGATGTCGTCCATTGAGTGTCAGAGGGAGAACAAGGTGGTGTCATCCTATAGGATGCAGGTTCCAGTGAATGATACACAGGTCATGATGTTACAGGCCTCATGGAGCTTAAGACTAAGACAGAAGCAAAAGACAGGGTCATGAGATCATGAGGGAACAAGACAAGAGAGGCAAGGGCTAGATGCTGAGATCGATTGAGGTGAGTGACCTGTTGTCAGGGACAGCTCCAAAAGTGGTGAGGTCCCGGTGCGAGGGACTCGATGGGACAGATGTCGGCTATGCATAGCGGCGGTCCCGTCGCAGGGTGAGCATCCCCAACCACTTAGTCTGGAGTGGGAAGTTGAGAAGAAGGCTGCTTCTTCTGTTCCCACCCCAGGCACTATTATAGTAGTTGGGGTCACGTGGGAGGAGCCATGTCATCTCCACACACAGCTGCACTTCCCTGGGTATCTCCGTGGGAGATCCTGGAGGTGTGCTGCTCTGTAAGCGGGAATGTGTGCAGCAATCGGGGGAGCAGGGTTAGGTGTGCAGTGATACATAGAGAAAGGGAAGTCAACCATGGAACGGAAATAGAAAGAAAGAAGAAAAGGGAAAAGGAGAAACGGGGATTGATAGCGGGGGGAGCAGAGTAGGGCAGCGTGGCGTGGGGTCAGGTGGGGTGTGCCCTGACACTGAGGCTGCATCCTTCTAAGAGCCTGTTGTAGTAGCCAGCAGACTTGGGCTTCCTGGAGAAGCTCCAGTTCACTACCGGAGCTCTTGGAACCCCTCTAGTTGAGCCCCATCTGCACCAGCAATCATCATGTTTTGACAACAGAAAACAATGCTGATAGAGCAGATGAAACTGGTGATTCCAATAGTGATAACATAGGGTACATTGATGATTAGAGACTATCTACATGTTTGCCAATACTTAAAAGTGTTGTTGGGATGATTGATCAGGAGAAAGATTTTTTGCCACTTTGTGCAGGGCAAATTAGATCATGTGGTAGTACAAAATTTATGCAACATTGCCAGTCCCCAAGGATAGCAAGGAAACTGTCAGGGCATACACCCTGACCTAGCCCACATGTTAGACACGGGTCCGGGGTCGGCACCGAGGGTCACCGTTGCAGGCCGCTATAGGCCATGATGGCCATGATGCCATGAACAAGGCCCGAGGGTAGGGCATTTGGCCTCAGCGACTCTAAAGGAGCGCTGTACCCCCTAGCTGTCTCTTGGCCCTCATTTCAGACTCACTGGGGTTGCCTTCTGGGGTCAGGACTTAGGAGGTCATGGTCAAATCGATATTTAGAGCTAAGGTACTATAATGTATCATACAGGATATATATAGGAAGATGAAATGAATGGAAGCGGACCCAGGCCGAAGGCCAAAGGGTCCGGAAGCAAAAGGGAACAAAGAGTGGGGTTGGCTGCACAGCAGCCAGCAATGACCAAGGGTCAAAACAGATAAATATATGAAGGAGTGTAGGGCCACGATAGTGGTGATGGTATTGTAGTGGCACCGGACTTGGGGTTGGGTGTGGGAACGATAGTGGCCCAATGAGGGCCAAGCAGGCAGAGTAGGAGGAGTCGCACTGGGCACAGTGCCGGAGGCAGACTTGGGGTGGGGAGGCTGGTGGGGCTGGAGGGGAGTCAGCCAGGTGCAGGGGAGCCTAGGGGTGAGCGGGGGGTGAGCAGGGGGGTGAGCAGGGGGTGAGCAGGGGGTGAGCAGGGGGGTGAGCAGGGGGGTGAGCAGGGGGTCCTCAAGGAGAATAGGGCTGAGGGTTGGGGCTCATGCTCACACTCATGGAGCAGGATGGGCTTGGGCGGCATCGGGACAGGTGGGGAACGGGCTGGAATGCATGGCCATGACACCACACCCACATCCACACCCACACTCGCACCCACACCCGTGCCCACACCTGGCTGTTGCACCTCCTGCACATGCTGCAAGTGGGGATGGACTCCTAGAGGGGAGAGAGGGGAAGAAGGAAGGGAATTCTCCAGCTTACTCCCTGACAACTCAGGGAAGAAGAGGGGGCAAAAAGGGTCAGGTGGTCCACTATACTAGGTTCGATGTTTTTAGCTAACAAACCAACTACTCAACTAAACTGGTGGAATTGCCCTAAGGACCAATTTTTCCTTAGCTTTCATTACTAAGCCTCTTGTCACACCCCAGAGTGCACAGACTCCAAGCTAGATGTGAAGAGGGGGGAAATTCACTCTTATTTCCTGACTAACTTACATACTTATATCAAATAGCTACATTGCACCAAGGATTAATTCCGAAATAAATGGCTTTGGCTAGAGTAAGCCTCCACCACCAACAGTGGTAAGGTTCGGGTGCTGTTGGCTTGAGTAAAATCCCAATGAACAAAAGAAAAATCAAGTGAAAAATCAAAAACTTCATCATATCACCCCCATCACTGCGTCAAAACTTCTTCCCTTCATACCATCTGACTCTCCTCAACTGTAGCTTTTGAACGATACCAATTTTGTGGAATTTGGTGTAGAATTGGCTAAGAACAGGAATTCAGTGGTGTGGGATTGAAAGGTTTTGCTTACTATTTGGGGATGGTAACATTCCATTCCCCTGTTCGCCTCAGGCCTCAGATAGTCCATCTAAATATAAGCTTTAATGTGCTGTATATTCAACAGGTAGAGGTAAAAGGCTACTGGGCCTTTACAACTACTCCAAGGTATATATATGTAAATTACATATCCCGGCACAAATAAATAAAGAAATAACAGCATCACTGTAATGGGAATTATAGTGAAGTAAGGTTAATCCCTTACAGGGATCCATGACACAATTGTCTGTGCACAGGGAAACTGTTATAGAGCGTGTAATTGTCTGGAAGCAGAGAAGGGACTCAGGAAAGGAGGGACCTTGGCCTCAGCGACTCAAGTGGAGCACTGTGCTGCTGCTTTGTTGTCTAAGGTGGTCCTTAATTTCAGGTTAGCAGGGGGAGTCTCTTGGGGGGACAATTGTCAGGGGACAGACCCTGGGTCCCCATGTGTGAGGTCTTAGGGTGGCTCAGCACACAAGGCCGTAAGTGATACAAGATAGTGTATTTTACGGTGGTGTGTAAGCAGTTACCCGGAGGTTCCCGCTTGCCCACGTGACTATATGTATCTAGTTACATGTGACTCAGGGTTTGGGGCTATTGCCCTGACATTCTCCCCCCTTGCGTTGCATTTGCGACGCATACAAAGTTGATAGTGAATAAAACAGAGTTTTAATAGTTGATTTACATTGAGTTTGGAATTATCAATGAGTGTTTTGTTGTCGCCACTTTAAAGTGGGCGATTTTGTACATGTTGGTGAAGAAAAGAGAGGGGGTTAAGGAATGAATGAGTGTGGGCTGTTACTTTGAAGTGAATGGCGATACATTGGTATCGCAGGGAGAGAAGAGAAAAGATGGTGGAGTTTGTCGAAAATGAATTTCGACCCAAAGGTTGTATGTCTTTGGTGTTCCTCACTTGTTCTGTGAGGGTTCATGTGTAAGTGGTGTTTACACACGAGCGGTGGTGGATGTGGGTCTTTTGACGGAGTGGAGATTTCCGCAATTGTTACTTGCGGTTGCTCACATACAGTATTGTGTGCGGGGCCTCGAGTTGGGGGAAGGTGTTTTCACGGGCACCTCGATGGCGTATTACCGTGTCACTTTCCCTTCTCTCAAGGGTGGATTCATTGCCCCAGAGGAGGGTTTTCCTCCGGGTTGTTCATCTGGACATCCGATTGCTGCGTCGGATGCGATGACGTAGCCTGGGCTACATTGTCGGGCTGTGGGCTCGACGAAGTGGGTGCTCCCTGGGTGGGAGCGGGTTGTTGTGTTCCTGAGCTGCTTGGCTCAGGTGTAGAGTATGGTAGGTCTACCGTTCTTCCTGTGGGGAAGGGTGGTCATTGGGCTGGTTGTCCAGCATGGAGACTTGCGTCTCTTTCCCGGTATTTGGAAGCTTTCGCTTCCCATTCCGCAGTTCTTGCGGCACGTTCCTCAGGAGTCCTGAGTGGTTTGAACTGGGACTTTAAGTA